GTGAGTCATTAATAATAGGGCGTTTAATAAACATTTATACAACAATAAATTCTTGCTTTGCTTTAATGCTTATCTATAGATATATAGTTAACTGTATACATACACCCTGCTGTAATCTCTGTTTGTTTGTTTGTTTGTGTGTCGGATCATAACGCATAATGGGGGGGGGCACCCGACACAGGGGGGCTCATCAGGGACACAAGGGTGACGAAGCGCCAGAAATTTTCGGTTAGGATGTAAATAGGATTTAAACATAAAGGGGTAAAACATGAAATATTATATAGTTCATTAACTTAACTAACCAATAATCCTTGAATTTAGAAGCACTAAACAGTAAGCTTTGAATTTATTAACCCTAAACAGTAATCTTGGAATTTAGTAATACTTAACAGTTCTCAAATAGTATCTTGGGTTTTTAAGTATTTTCACGTATTTTTAGGATTTTTTCTTAATTTAAAGGGAGTGACCGGCTATGTAAGGTAGTTGAATTGAGTATGCAGTGTTGTGGAAAACTTATTTCGGATTCATTATGAGACATATAAAACTTTTAAAGATCTGTAAATCCTGAGTTTGAGCGCAAATTCGACGTTCTAACTCCTGATTTGGGGGTGGATACGTTTTCAGAATTAGTTTTTTTTAATTATTTAATAACGACAACGAAAAATAAAGTAAAGGACGTGAAGGACGTGAAGGACGTGAAGGACGTGAAGGAAGTGAAGGACGTGAAGGACGTGAAGGACGTGAAGGACGTGAAGGACGTGAAGGACATGAAGGACGTGAAGGACGACATTCATAGTTCTTACTCAAGTTGGAGTTAAAACTTTTAAATTGTATTTGTAATAATATTCCAGCGGCTAAAACTGAATGAACGATTTAGTTAAATCTTGATTTGTAATCTGATCGAATTCCTTAATTAATTAATGATAAAGGTGAAAAATTTAAGACCACATTTTGGAGATCCCAAGACTGATAGTTTCCGGTGTTTTCTGAGATATTACTAAACTTGTGTTAACGAAATAATGGAGTCGTAACTTAATTTCTTTTTTTTTAAAGTAACGCCTTAAACAAGAATCCTGAAATGGTTTAACCATGGTTTCCTTCCATGGATATGCAGATTGCAAAGAAGAACCCAGTAAAATAAATAAAAAAAATCTTCAAATGTGTATAATTAATAGAAACTGACGATTGTACATTTGCAATTTTAAAATGAAGCTGCTTTACATTCTACCTTTTAAAAAGATTTCAAGGGACAAACTATGTAAGGTAGTTGAACTGAGTATGCAGTGGTGTGGACAAATTCTTTCGAATTAGAAATTTAATAAAAAACCTTTTAAAGATCTGTAAATCCTGAGTTTGAGCGCAAAGTCGACGTTCAAAATCTTACTTTTTGGTGGATACGCGTTCAAATTTTTTTTTTTAAATTATTAAATAAAGACGACAAAAAATTAACTTTTATCATCGAAAATAAGTAATCTTGTTCAATTATTGTTCAATTATTCTAGTTTCTCATTATTCACAAAGATTTACTGCAGATTTTTTGGAATTATTCTTGAAAAGACGACATTGGAAAAGTTTGTAGGAATCTGCGAATAAATTCACTGAAAATAAGAAATTCAATATAATGATGAAAACGAAATAATTAATTCTATAATTGATTTATTGACAAATTTCTTTTGAGACATATGTTCCTAACAATCTAATTAGTTTACTGTATAATTTTTACTTTATTTTTCGTCGTCGTTATTTAGTAATTTAAAAAAAACCGATTCTGAAAACATACCCACCCAAATTCATAATTTTGAACGTCGACTATGCACTCGAACTCAGTAATGTTACATCGTGAAAAAGTTTTATATGTCTCAAACGAATCCTAAAGAATTTGTCCACAACACTGCATACTCAGTTTAACTACCTTACATAGCCGGTCTGTTCCTTTAAAGAGTAGATAAATATATATTCAGATTGTTTTTTTTTCGAAACATTTTAATTTTAAAAAGTATGATTTGTTATTCTAGTTTGTAAAAATTTTATATCAACTACAGAGACATCTAGTGGTCATAATTAAAAATTAATTTAAAAATCAATGAAAAACGCAGAAAATAAGCTTGCATAATAAAATAAAATTCGATAACTAACTTACGCCCACAAGGATGGAAAAAATGTTCACTTTTGCATATTAAGTTTAAATAAAGTATTTTTTAACGATGTTTTGAAATTTCACAAACTAATAAAGTTCTAAAAATTTTGAACCACTGCACTTTCTTGGCTTAATAATTTAATTCATCAATAAGAATAGAATTTAAGCATATCTGCAGGGCTAGTGTGAGTAGGGATAATTATTTTTTGATATTTTATCCAAGCTAAGCAAAACTGAAAGCAAGGCCTTTTTAATCTTCAGTAAAACAAACAAAAAATATAATTTTACATTTTCTAAATCACAATTAGAACCACACATTCTCCCAACATAGTAAAATAAAAATCCTTTATTTGAAAACAAAATTTGAATGACTGCAAAGTGAAAAACATCAGCAATTTTGTTGATTATAAACAATTTTGTTGAATATAAACAATTTTGTTGAATATAAACAATTTTGTTGAAAATAAACGATTTTGTTGAATATAAATGGTTTTGTTGAATATAAACTATTTGGTTGAATATAAACAATTTTGTTGAATATAAACGATTTTGTTGAATATATTAACGATTTTGTTGAATATAAACAATTTTGTTGAATATAAACGATTTTGTTGAATATAAACGATTTTGTTACACTTTTCAAAAGAACTGTTCTTTTCCCTTATATCCTTCTCCTTAGTACACCTCTAAAGCTTTATTACGTAAAAATAATAACTGGAGTCTAACAGTTGTCTTTATATTCCACGGTAAAAATAATAACTGGAGTCTAACAGTTGTCTTTATATTCCACGGTTTTACGGGAATACATACTACATTTTACACATAATTAATTGTGCAAAAAAGTACTATCGCAAATCAGCGCATAACATGTCAAGCCGAATAATATAACGATATTTTTTGCCTTCAGGAATTGATTTTACATTTTTGTAGAGTGGAAAATCTTGTTTATTTTTTTCTAATTTCTCGAATTAAATCCACGAAATTTCCTGAGAAATCTGCAAGTTTTAGTTTCAAGGAAAATTTTTTTACAAAAATAAAAAAACTTTTAAGCACAAAGTTTTTAAATGTTGATTATTCATAAACCATCCCTATGGGCCCGATCGGTTTAGCCGTTTTGACGCTTATTGGATACAAACATCCTGACAGACAAGCCAAATTTATAAAGAGATTTAGAAAAACACCCCCCTCCCAATCGTGATCGGATTAAAAACAATGTTTTGCTCTGAAATCAATTTTACTATAAAAGGAGATGCCATATGTGATATTTTTTATTTGATCTCTTTGGTATCAAACTATGGAAGAAGACATTTAAGCAATTCACCAGCTGTAATATTTCGTGGGATTTATTTATTAAATTTATCATTTGTAATCGAAGTTCTCATTTTCTTTTTCTTCAATTAAAATCGACACAAATGTAAAGGCCTTGAAAGGAAAATTCTCCGACACTGTTATGCATCCTTTCTCTAAGGATGTTAACGTTTTCATTTTTTTTAAACGATCGTTTCTTTATGAAAAGACAACAAAAAAGTTTGTTTTCTAAAAACGGTCGTTTTCGAATAAATAAAGCTCGCCGTTTCGTTAACGATCGTTAATGACGTCCCTTCGTTAAAGATCGTTAACTAAGAGAGTAGGAGAGAGGAAACCGCCCTGAAGGACATATGTCATTTTTTTTTTTCAAAAACAACAGTTTTTATAAAGTTCGTCGTTTCGTTAACGATCGTTAACATATTTATCATTAAAAAAATCAAAACGATCGTTTTCTCAAAAACGATAGTTTTTTAAAAAATCAATCGTATAATAAACGTTTTTAAGAAAACGATCGTTATTCGTTTTCTAAAAGTTCAAAACGAGTGCGTCGTTTTTAAAAACAATTGTTTTTTTTCGAAAATGAAACGATCGTTTTCGAAAACGATCGGAAAACCAAAAAAAAACGATTAACAACCCTATCTTTCTCAAGAGTACATGTATATAAGGTTTCCATCAAAGGATGAGAATTCAATGTGGAGAAAAAGGTTTATTTTAAACTTCTAATTTTAAAACAATCTCTTTTTGTTACACGGGGTTACTAATAGAAGATGCGACTTCAGAGACGACTGTACGTAATTATAATATCTGTTTCTATACATGAATGATTCCCCTGCAACTGTAAACTTATTTCTTTATTTGCTTAATCATTAAATAGGCCATTAAATGACTAATTAGTTAAGACAGAATATCTAATTTTAACCCTGAAAGGTAGTATTTAGAGTCTCATCCTTAGTGGGTCACCCTGTAAACAAAATTGATGTTTAAAGAACAATGTTAACAACCTGGTAGAAGCCATGAATGTAAGAATGACAACTGAATAAATTCAGAGTTGTCGTCTTTGCAGTTTCATCCTGTTAGGGATACCCCGTAGATAAGCAAAAATAGAATAATAAGAAATATTCTGAGCTGAAAACTTTAGAATGAGATATCCTTAATCCCGATTACTTAATCTGAGTATCTAATAGACACACTTTAGATTTTCTTCTTAAACCGTTTTTTCTTACATAAAGTAGAGAAAAAATAAAAAACCGGTTTTTTAAAAAATTTAGAGAGTTCCTCCCGTTTCTTTATGTAATCTTAAATGGCGCGTAAAATTTCATATTTATCGGCTTCATATACGCGACTCTAATTGGTTGAATTTTATACAAGTTGAAGATTAGGTTAGTCTCGATATTAAGAAAAAGAGAGGATCAAGCATTAATCTCGATATCCACCATTCTAAAGTTTTCAGCTCTGTATATATAAATAAATAAATAAAAAGTCAACCAACATTCAGTGAAAATCAGGGCCCAGCCACCTTCAAAAATAACAGGCAATGGACGGTAATTGATGTATGTAATGTATATAGATCCACTTTATTAAGTAAAAACACATGAATACTGGACAGTATAACTACTTAAATTTAAACTAATTTTGTATCTGAAATTAATACTGTAAAATCAAGAAGGGCAAGTTTTGTTTTTTCCTAATTGAGAGGTACAATGTACAAAGCACAATGTAAAATGTACAATGTACAGTTGTTTTCTAATCAATAATGAGAAGCAGTTGAGCTCAGTAGGGATAGTTGAACTATTTTTCTAGCTTTGCTCAGAGTTCATTAGAGACTCAACTACTTCATATGATTCATTAAATTCGATCTCAAGTAGAATAAAAACTAAAATTAACAATAAATGTGAAAGTATTTCTGTACTACAATAATTTTTATGAGGTTGGAGGCTCTGGAACAGTCGGAGGTCGGTCTCTACCACTGTTCCAAGAACTGTCGGTGTTCCAAGAACTGTCGGTGTTCCAAGAACTGTCGGACAGGTCGGTCTTTACCACTGTTCCAAGAACTGTCGGAGAGGTCGGTCTTTACCACTGTTCAAAGAACTGTCGGAGAGGTCGGTCTCTACCACTGTTCCAAGAACTGTCGGTGGTCGGTCTCTACCACTGTTCCTGGAACTGTCGGAGAGGTCGGTTTCTACCACTGTTCCTGGAACTGTCGGAGAGGTCGGTCTCTACTACTGTTCAAAGAACTGTCGGAGGTCGGTCTCTACCACTGTTCCTGGAACGGCCGGAGGTCGGCCTCGAAGGTCCAGGCACTCTTCCCCTGAGAGGCAATGTTGTAATAGCTCTCTGCAATCTCGTCCGGGTTCAAGAACTTGTTGGTTTCATCGTTTTCTTTTATCTAAATAACAGGGGTGCATCAGTTATCTCAGAAACAGTCGATTTATCTTTCTTACGATTATTTATAAATCAAATCCAAACATTTATAAGTTAGATAAATTTTCAATCCTCATAGCGTAATCATCAATAAATTCATTGATTACCTGTCCATCAATGATCGCCAGGAAGACATGAATTCCTTTAGGTCCTAGATCACGCGCTAGAGACTGAGCTAACATCCTTTGAGAACCCTAGAATCATTTAGTTTAGAATCATACCTCTAGATGTAATTCACAGGCTTGATAAGAATTACATTAATTTGAGGGTTAGAGCCTTATCAATCCAATATCAAGAAGTGTTTTCAAATATATTAAAATATAATAAATAAATAATATTAAAAGAAAAACTTTATTCCTATTTACTATTTGCAAGTTCATCCCCCAAATAATAAAGCTTATTTTTGGTTAAATACTTTTTATAATGGTATTCAATATTCACCAATAGTTTGAAAAAATAAAGATATAAATTGAATTATAAAATCCAAGTTTCTCCAATGTTGTTTCTTTAAAAATTGTTTCATATCATTTAGCAAGTAAATTTTTAATCTATAGAACGACATTAAATACAACAAAGATGGCTTAAGTAACGTCTTGATGTTCCACTTATTTTTGGGTTCTACTGTAAGCAAAGATAACATATTTCTAAAAAAATTGAAAAAACAAAAAACAAAGTAAAGTTCACCTTTGCAGCAGCGAAGGCCGAAGTAAATGGTTTTCCCCTGAGGCTAGCTGTAGCTCCTGTTATCCCTAGAACACCCTCACCCCTCTCCACCATTCCGGGGCACACCGCCTTAGCCAACATTAGCAGACCCTGAGATAATATCATATTCAATTTTTTTTATAAAAATATTTTTTTTCATAAAAAGTGCGAGATTTTAATGAGAACCTAAAACTTTCAAAAAAGTTTTGTATAGTTTTAAAATTGTCTATTTAATAATTGTATATATCCTACCCTAGTGTTAGTATTGTATATTTAATAATGGTATATATCCTACCCTAGTGTTAGTATTGTATATCTAATAATGGTATATATCCTACCCTAGTGTTAGTATTGTATATTTAATAATGGTATATATCCTACCCTAGTGTTAGTATTGTATATCTAATAATGGTATATATCCTACCCTAGTGTTAGTATTGTATATTTAATAATGGCATATATCCTACCCTAGTGTTAGTATTGTATATCTAATAATGGTATATATCCTACCCTAGTGTTAGTATTGTATATCTAATAATAGTATATATCCTACCCTAGTGTTAGTATTGTATATTTAATAATGGTATATATCCTACCCTAGTGTTAGTATTGTATATCTAATGATGGTATATATCCTACCCTAGTGTTAGTATTGTATATCTAATGATGGTATATATCCTACCCTAGTGTTAGTATTGAAGCTTCTATCGAACTCCTCCATGGTGACATTATCCCAAGTTTTCCAAGTTCCAGTTCCAGCGTTGTAGATGACAGTATGGATAGGACCCTGCTCCTTCTCTACCTGGATTTTAAATATTAAAGGGACTGTTTATGTTATCTGAAATATCTCAATATCAATACCCTTTAAACTTTTATCCAAGCAAAAATTATGGAGATATCCTTTACGAAAATCTTGGTTTCGGGTTTTCTAAATAGTGACTTGCGGTAATAAGCAGCAGAGACAACAAAGCAATTTACAGAATTTATCTGTGTACCTAAAAAACGCCACACTCATAAAAAGCTACCAGATAAAACGCTAGTAAAGAAACAAATGCTACTTTAGCATTTTTATACTTGCATAAGTCTACCCCGGGATAACTGAAATGAAGAGATAAAGCATTGATTCTCAAATTTAAAATGCTCACATCGGATATCGAGATCGGGTTAGATTCAGATAATTTAATGCTCACATCGGATATCGAGATCGGGTGAGATTCTGATAATTTAATGCTCACATCGGATATCGAGCTCGGGTGAGATTCTGATAATTTCTTGAAACTTGTTTTCTTGATTTTGACATCACTGCCACCAAAGCATTGTTGGACGTATTATTCAACTATTGATAAAACACTACCTAATGTGAATACTGCATAGGGTTGGATATAGGTATAAAGAAATAAACGATTATCAATCAAATAGGGTTGGATATTGAGATTAACTTGTGAGTGCATAATTGTAACCTTCGGCTTGATTTTTTTTCTGACATTGACGTCAAACAAATTCCATAGCTTTAAATCAAGCTTGAGCCAGTAGTTTTTAATCTAAATCCTCATATTGTCTGCAATCTTACGTCACTTTTTCAATGTTATTAGGTTTACAACCTTTTTCAAATTTTTTTCACCAAACTTTGGATTCCTAGCTGTCTTTGGAGTAGAATTTTCCAAGCCCATCTTTTTTAACACGTGTCCAATGTCAAAATACTTTTGGCATAATAAAAAAACACTTTGAAGGTGCCAACGTCAGGAAAATATTCAGCAAAAGTGATTTGAATGCTACTTTTAACAGAAACTGTTTAAGAACCGTCAAACATTCATGATACACAGACACATGGCGAACTGATAAAAAATATTGGATTTGTGCAAAATGATAATTATGATATAATATATCAAGACGGTGGTTGAGATAAAATTAAAGACAGATTTAAGTATTTTAAATAATTTTGAAGATAAATTTGGTCGCTTTCCATCACCCCAACTGTCCCCGAGCCAAACTTGACCCAAAAGTTGTGTTGAAGATACTGCAGTAAAATATAATAATTGACCATTTCAAACCTCCCCCCCCCCATCCCCGGCTTCGTATCCCTTACCATTTAACGTTAAAGTTGCAAAAACTTGAGTAACATAATCTGTAAAAAATAGAATTTATAATCCAATATAAAAATCAAACCTAATATTATGACATTTTGATAAGAGTAGCGTTTTTTTTTCTTTACTAACGTTATATCTGGTAGCGTTTTATCTAAGTAGCGTTTTATGAGTGTAGCGTTTGTCTAAAATGACAAAGAGCAGGTAATTGTTTTAGGCAGCCCTCTTTATCCGGTTAAATCTAATGCTTCGAATATGATTTAAAGGCAGCAAAGATAGACAAAGTATTTAATTAAAGTAGATCGTCATCTGATGAATAAGAAAAAAGCTGTGAAGAATAAATATATAATTTAGTATTTTGAATTTTGTATTTCTAAGATTTCTTGACCTTTGAAACCAGAGCCTTGATGTCGTCTTCCTTGGTGACATCACACTGAGCGCTGGATACATTTGCGCCACCAATCCTAGGGATTGATTTTTTACTTACAAAGTTGCCAAATTAATAGTTAGTTACCAAGTTACCAAGTTATTAAGTAAATAAGTCACTAAGTTACTAAGTTAATCAAGTTTTGCCTTGTTACTAAGTTACCAAATTACCAAATGACCAAGTTATCAAATTACTACCGTGATAACCAGAAAACTCTGGAATATTAAGTCGACTTTCAAACTCAAGTAATGAATTTATAAATAGTCCAATGACCACGAAGTACAGCAATTGTGCAGTGTAAACAGATCTACTTTATTTAATAGATGATTTAAAATTTAAAAACTTACTTAAAGTAAAATTGCTTTGTAACACAAATCAAATGCATTTCAGTATTTCTTTAATGTTGTTTTCCTATTCTACAGTTAACTCATTATCACTGTATAGGACCAAATTACCAGGTTACAAGGTTACCAGTTTACCAAACTAGAAGTTACCAAATTATCAGTTTACCAAACTAGAAGTTACCAAATTATCAGTTTACCACTAGAAGTTACCAAATTACCAGTTTACCAAACCAGAAGTTAGCAAATTAACAGTTTACCAAACTAGAAGTTACCAAATTATCAGTTTACCAAACTAGAAGTTACCAAATTATCAGTTTACCAGGCTAGAAGTTACCAAATTACCAGTTTACCAAACCAGAAGTTAGCAAATTAAAAGTTTACCAAACTAGAAGTTACCAAATTACCAGATTACCAAACTAGCAGTTACCAAATTACCAAGTTTCCAAGTTACTAAGTTTTACCAAATTAATATGTTACCAAATTACCAAAGCTCTTTACGATATATAGAGACTTTTGAGACTTTTTTCTTACATTTATGGTTCCCGGAAATTAGCTTCTTTCCTTGTCAAATCATTAAGTAAACCATAAAAATGCTATAAATACAGAAGAGCAAATCTAACTTTCAGATAGTCATATTTTAAAACTTAGGGTTTATAAGTTTCATCATAATATGGGTAACCTTGTATTTAATAAAATAGTTTAAGTTTACTTACTTGGCTAGATCAGCGGCAGAGAATTCAGAACGACGGGAGACAACAACTAAAAATAAACTGTGCAAAATCTAGTGCTTAGCTTAGTTATTATTCTAATTCGGGAACTCGAGATCTCTGCAAGCAATCTCGATCCTTTGTTAATCTGCAGAATAATTTAATCGCTTTTAACTGATAATTACATAACGATGCTTTTGGTATATTAATGATACTTTGCTTGGCCGGAATCATTAAATTCGATTCACAAAATATATAATTTAGTTTAGATTGGGTTAAGTATAAAAATTATCAAAATTGTCCTTAAGTTTTTTTTCTTCTTCAGAATTTAAATTCCAAAACTACATATTATTGTTATAATTAGGTTAGGTCGGCAAAAATTACAACATTGTGTGATTGTTTTAACTCGATCCATAACATAATTGGATTTTTGTTAACTAAATTCTTTTTACATGAAACATCAATTGTACTAAGACCATAGAGAATAGAATATATAGAGAGGAATTAAAAGAATCTCTCGGTATGATTTTTTTCAATACCCTTTAAAC